TTGGAGATCTTCCTTTCTTGCGCTGCGGGTTATATAACCATACCGTATCGTCCTGTTGAAATCCCGTAGAATTAGCTCTGAGGTCGTAACGAGCTTTCATGCGGTCACTGGCTAGCGCAATCTTACTTCTAACGGCCTTATGAATTTCCAATAACCCTTCCTTCGGTTCATCCGCGTAGTCCTCTACGTTCGTGGTGCCGTCGTCTGGTGATCCGAACACCAAGTCACAAGGCAACCGTAATTCACGACTAAATAAAATCTTCGATGGTGAAAGTCCGGTGGTGTTGTGAACTGCACTTCTATACGCCATTAGGAATAGCGGTATGTGCTGATCCCAATCTCTTTGATGTTCATCCACCATTTTCGAGAGGTGTTCTTCAATGGTCTTATTGAATCTTTCGACCATCCCATCAGACTGCGGATGTAAAGCCGTTGTCCTAGTCTTGTGAATACCAAGCAGATCACACATATTCTGGAACAGTCTTGACTCGAAGTTCCTTCCTTGGTCAGTGTGAAGCTCTAAGGGAATTCCAAATCTACTGAAGACATTATTGACTAATACTTCAGCTACAGTCGATGCTTCTTGGTTCGGAATGGCAAAAACTTCTGGCCATTTACTGAAATAATCCATGCTGTGTTCTACGATAGAGTAGTGCTGTGTTCTACGATAGTGAACGAGTGCTGTGTTCTACGATAGTGAACGGGATCGCATTTGAACGCGGCAATCCCGTTTGATGTGGCCATTCCTGCCACATCTAAAGCACCTTATGTCCTGGGATCTTCTCTGGTTCTCCGTCTGGTTGTTATTGACTCCCTTGTTTATTAGTAGCTCACATAGTTTGTCGACTTTCTTACACATCTCCTCCAAACCCCTGTGAGTGCTTTCGGGCTGTTCCTCGACCGTTACCGATCTTATCTTCGGTCTAGGGATGGCGCTAAAAGCAGCGTCAATTTCCAGCGCCCTGACCAGTGCTTCGCTGCTGGTAGAAAATCGGGATATTTGCAGCGCCCTCTGTAATTCGTTGTCCCTCAATCCGCTAATAAAACACTGGGCGGCGAGTTCCTGCCTAAAGCCTTCCGGTGCTTCTGGATATGCCAGGTACACCAGCCGACGTAAGTCTGCTTCAAATTCCTGCAGACTCTCTCCGGACCTCTGCAGGCGTGTCTTGATCTGGGCTTGGTAAAGTTGACGTCGATGTTGGTCGCAATATCTTCTGTCCAGCGCAGCGACCAAAGTCTCATACTCCTGCTGTTGGGCTGCAGGAATAGTTTGTAGCAGTTCCAGCGCAGGGCCACGCAGCGCGATGACAAGTGCCGCGGCTTTTTCCTGGTCGGTCCATCCGTTGGCAGCGGCGGCTGCTTCAAACTGACGGTGGTACATTGTCCATGTTGTTTGTCCATCGTAGGTCGGGGCCTTAAGGTTCGCAGTTCCCGAAACGCCAGGTATCCTTACTTGTACCTTGGTCTTCTGTAGGTCCATCTCCAACTTTTCTATCTTCTGCTGAAGGCGCTCCTCCAGATCTACGGCTTCTTGGAAGTGGTTCTGTTGTTCCTGGCAACGTACTTCCAACATTGCTTGTTGCTTTTTTTCCATTTTTTCGAAACTTTTCTTGATACGGTCCTGCTCTTCGAGTTTTTCTTCTTGTCGGCGCACTTCAAAACCTTGTAAAATTTTCTCGATCCGGTCCTGTTCCTCTTGTCTTTCTTTCTGATGACGCGCCTCTAAGCCTTCCAGAATTTTCCCAAGCCGGTCCTGTTCTTCTTGTTTTTCTTGTTGTCGTTGTAATTTTTCCTCTTCCTTATCTTTACGTAGTCTTTCTTGTTCTTCTTGTTTTTCTTGTTGTCGTTCTAATTTTTCCTCTTCTTTATCTTTATGTAGTCTTTCTTGTTCTTCAGCTTTCTCTCTTCTCATTGTAATGTATTCTTTTATATATTTTATTTTAGGGTACAAAATAATATTCAAGTTGCTTCTTAAACGTGTCTATTCAAGTGTCATTTTACATCTGTCCATTGTGGTAGTTCATCATCATCCAAATGGACATATGAACTACCTTACATCCCCCTTCTTTTGAAAATATTGAGAACAAATATTTTAAAGTAGTGTGGTATTATAAACATTAACAATTATTACTAATACGACTGTTTGTTATTCAAAAGCTCTGTTTAACAACCAGAAGGGTTATTACCATTCTCTATTCAAACTCATTATAACGCTTAGGTGGAATTACGGTCCTACCCCTTCTTGTTGTAATTGGAAAATTAACATTTGTAGTTATGTTATCCTCATGTTGAGAGTCGAAACTTTCCGTAGAGTTTTCAGAGCTGTCTGAATATAAACCGTCTTCACAATTTTGAGAGTCCTTGTTAGAACTACTAGGATTACTACACTCCAACTCAACAATCTCTACATTTTCAAGCTTGCTTAAATTTTTTATAGTGTGTTCTTCAGAGTTAGAAGAATCTTTATCTGAACTAACAGAATCCCTCCTAGATGAATTACTTAATTGCCCTAGACCATCAAAATTATTTTCTTCTGAATTATCTATAACTTTAATATACTGATAATTTGGATAGTTTTCCTGAGAATAAAAAGATGAAAAATTAAATCTAGAAGAACTAGTTCGCATTTCTTGTGAACTTTCTGAAGCTCGATATCTTATAAATCTAGTATTTCTTCGTGGAATACTGTCACCGCTGTTAAATTTAACCAAATAAGAACGAAGACCTACTTTTTTAAAAATAATACCCATTGACTCTTAGTATTTCTCTGCACCCATACCAGATCATTTTTGGAGAATTTTGGAGGCGCATTTATTGTTTTTCTATCAAAATTTTGTTGTTGTTGACTTTTATGTATAAAATTGTTTAATTTTTGTTTATTAAAAGTAGTCTTTTTAAACCTTTTTTCTGAAGTTGGCAGTATTCCACGAATATTTCTATTAAATAAAACATTTGCTGGTGAATTCTCTCCATCTAGTGGAGTGTTACGCCATTCTAATATAGCTAAATATGGATCGTTACCACTCAAAATCGATTTCGACAAAATATTTTTTGCATCTTGGATTGCTCTTTCAACTTTCCCATTGGACTGCGCAAATAATGGACTCGATGTTACGTGTTTAAAATCCCAATTTTTGCAAACATAGTAAATTCCAAGCTCTTAAATTCTGGTCCATTATCTGACATAACAATATTAGGAATCCCAAAGCGAGAAAATATATTCTTTAATTTTTCGACTACGTTCTTACTTGACAAATTTTTGTTTAGATTAGTGATCTCTACAAATTTTGAGTAGTAATCCACCACAAGAAGAAAAGATTGACCCTGAAAATGATATATATCTACCGCTATTTTGTTCCATGGTCTCTTCCAAATCTTATGAGGCACCAAAGGCTCAGAAGGTTGAGACTTCTGATGTTTTTGACAGATATAACAAGCCAACACCATGTCTTCGATTTCTTTTCTCATACCTGGCCAATAATAAGACAATTTAGCCCTGTCAATGCACTTTTTGATACCTAAATGACTATAATGAAGCTTCTTTAAAATTTCTTTGCGGAGAGCCTTTGGTACTATTAATTTATTCCCTTTAAAAAGCATATTATCCATTAAAGTTATTTCCGATCTTATTTTATAATAAAATTTGACATTACCTGTACAATCCCTCATTTTTGAAGGCCAACCTTCAAGAATATACTTCTTAACTAATTTAAGCTCAGAATCAGAAGCTGTTAGATTTCTAATTTCTATTTTTCGTTCTTCACTGATATTTAAGTTTAACGAAATTAAACAAATTTGTGATTCGATTTCGAGATCTATGTTTTCATCGAAATTATTTTTAAGATATGCTCTGCTTAAGGCATCTGCAAGAATAAGTTTTTTACCTGGTTTGTAAATTAAATTAAAATCATACTTTTTAAGTTGTAGCAGCATTCTCTGAAGCCTTGGTGGGCAGCAATGAAGAGGTTTTTTAATGATTGTTATGAGCGGTTTATGGTCCGTTTCCACTGTAAAGTTTTTGCCAAAAACATACTGAGAGAAATAAGTGATTCCAAACCAACATGCCAAAAGCTCTTTTTCTAGTTGAGAGTATCTTTTTTGTGTTTCTGTCAAGCAACGCGGGGCGTACGCACACGGTCTTCCTTCCTGCATGAGACACGCTCCTAAACCCCCTTGAGAAGCGTCTACCGAAATAACTGAATGTTCTTTTATATCATAGAATCTTAAAATAGGTGGTTTGGTCATAATCTCTTTTATTTTGGTAAAGGCATCCTTTAAATTATTATCCCAGTGAAATATAGTGTCTTTTTTGAGTAAGTCTCTGAGAGGAGCTGTTAAATCAGACATGTTCTTTAAAAATTTGCCTAAATATGTAATTATACCAAGAATTCTTTGTGAATCTTTTTTATTTTTCGGCGACGGCATATCTTTTATAGCCTTAATCTTAGTTTCATCTGGTTTTATACTCTCTTTACAAAAATAGTGACCCATATATTTTACTTCTGTTTGTAAGATTTTGCATTTACTTTTATTAAATCTTAGATTAAATTCCCTAGCTCTCTCAAAGACTTTTGCCAAAATTTGTTTATGTTCATTAATAGATTGTGAATGAATTAAAATATCATCTATATATTGTTCACAACCCTCTATATCAGAGAAAATTTCATGCATTTTCCTCTGGAAAATTTCTGTATTTACATACATACATACATATGGTAGTCTCAAATAGTCTTTATAGTTTGGCACACTATCCATATCTACTACATGAAATTCAAGGTTATACCCTATATTTTTATTTTTGCATGACAAGACGCACTTGTACATCGTTGGCAAAGCATGATTTGTATAAGAAGTTAATTTTATATTAGACTTATGTATTTTATTCAGATTATACCTTATACTTTCTAAAATTTTCACCGGAATGATGTTGACTGATGCACCTGTATCAATCTTAAATTGGACCGGATGACTGTCATTACCGTCCTTACTCAAACTTAATGTTACCTTCCTGGTGCCTCCCAAGCTGTTGTCAGAGCCTCCACTGGTACAAATTGCTGGTTGTTCAATGCTATCTACAAAAAGAAAGTCATCGCGAGTATCACTATAGTCAGAACTATTACTATTTGGTACTGAAGAAAAATTGCAACTACTCTCCGTATTTACAAAATGCACTCTTTTTGAGCATGTTTCATTTTTAGACTTATTAAAGTTACCTGCCTTACTGATACTTGCACGAGACCCCGCTGGTCTTGAAACATTGTAAAATTTGACTGCGAGCTAGCATTATATTTAAATTTAAAACAACATTTAGAAAAATGATTAATATAATAACACAACATTAATTAATAACACCACCACACCTGTGACAATTTTTTCCAAATGCTGGGCATGATCCAAAGCTATGATTTGTCCCACACTTAGTACAAGTCCTTTGTGGAGTGCGAGACCTCATCTGTGTTTGTTTACTGTTCTGTTGTTTGACCTGGCGACCCCCTGCTTACCATCCAACTTTCAGCTCATCCACTTGGTGACTGAATGACCCATTTGAAACTTGTCTGTTATGTTCTTGGGTAGATTCCTTCGTCAGGCATATGGAGATTGCATTTTCCAAGGTGAGATTTTCTCTCTGAAACAGTGTCTCTCGTAGCGATTGGCTTCTTATCCCGCAAACCAAAATGTCCCTGACCAGTTCTTCTCGCAGATTTCCCAATTCGCACGATAAACTTAGTGACTTTAACTCTGTTATGAATTGTTCGAGGGTTTGGCCTTCTTTCTGTTTATATGACAAACATTTGAAACGCTCGAATGTTATATTCTTTTTCGGATTAAAATGTTCGTTAAACTTTGTAATAACCACATCGAACGTCTCCGCCTCATTATCACTTTCGTAGGTAAAGGTATTATATATTCTCATGCCTTCCTCACCAATCAGAGTTAAAAGCTGTGCCACCTTTGTAGCGTCATCCTTTTTATAAATCTAAGTTGCTTTTAAATAAGTGATGAATCTTTGCTTCCAGAACTGCCATTTTTCCGATAGATTACCCTCGAAAATCATCGGCGGAATGCCTCTAAAATCCATTTCCACCGTGGGCTTCTGTTAAAAATGTTTTACTCGTGGATCTGCTTTCTCTTTTTCCGTGCACCGTTTTTAAATTTCGCTACCATCCATCCACTGATGGTCGAGATATTTTTGTATTTATTTTCCACTGGTTCTTTACCGCAGCGCCATGTAATGTATTCTTTTATATATTTTATTTTAGGGAACAAAATACTATTCAAGTTGCTTCTTAAACGTGTCTATTCAAGTGTCATTTTACATCTGTCCATTGTGGTAGTTCATCATCATCCAAATGGACATATGAACTACCTTACACTCATATTCTCCATAAAATCGCCCAATAGTTTGCCTACTTCCTCCATTTTCTTCGCTTGCTCCCTTGTACCAACCATAAAAATACTCTAATTCGGTCTAAAAATCTTCCAATCCACTTAATTTCTTCTTAAAATCCTCTTGATTCGCACTTTCGACACCAATTGTTACGGATTCCGTGGGTCCACTAATTTAAACTCACGATAAAATACTTAACAAATTTATTTGTCTCACTCTGTACACACAACTTATACTATTTACAACACAATTTATGCAACTACTATTACTCTAACGGTATTTCACAATTTAAAGCGCGGTATTATCAAACTTCAGACTTCAACTATCTTCAGACTTCAACTGTCCCCACGGCCGATAACGCGCTCTTTTATATAGCTGTGGCGAGTGTTTCGCGAACAATCCAAAATTATCGGGAAGGTTCTGCAATCTACTAGTACATTCTATTGTCTGCTTTGCTTACTTGTCGACTTGATTAAGAGATGGCGCCACAACAAAAAAATGTCTTCAGATTTCTTGACACGTTGCGGTTTTAGTTGCTCGCTTCTCCGACAGATGGCGCCATATACACCTTTTTTTTCATTTCTGTACTATAACTATAAAATAACTTTAATAATATAAAATACTTTTTTTGAAGATGTGGTATTCAATAAAAGAATCATAGATAAAATAATATTACTAAGATCAACTATTTATACGTTAGCTTTTTCGTTCGCTTAAATAAAATGCTATAAATAATAGTATATAATTTATACAACTATTTAGAATGGTACTCTCGGCTAAAGGAAAAGACAGGTTAGCAGGGTTCGGAAAACTACATGTTACTTTTAAAAACTCCATAAACTACATTACATGTAGTTAATGTAGTTTATGTAGAGGGTGTAGTTTATGTAACATATGTATGTAACTTTCAAATGTCAAAGGTTTGAGGTGAGGTTATAATAACTTAAAGCTTTAGAAAACATATAATGTTTTTAAGAAAACAGAAGAAATATGGTTTTAAATATAACCATTCACATCATATTATATTTATACTCCTCATACAAAGCAAAATTATTCATAATATTAATAGGTAGTTTAATAACGTAGTTTTCATGTAGTTAATGAATGGAAAAGACGTAGTTTTTGAAGAAAAACTACACGTAGTTAATCAGATAAATTACTTCTTAATTAACTACTTCCGAACCCTGTAGGTTAGGACAAGTTTAAGCTTGTTTATTTGTTTGTTTCTCACGCACTTGAAATATGGAATCTAAAGAATTAATTATAAGGCTGGTGACACAATGTGCGTTTTTGCAGTGCCGTTGGACCGCATCCGTTCTTATTGCCATCGCCCCTGCCATCAGGGTTCGGAAAATTACATGTTACTTTTAAAAACTACATAAACTACATTACATGTAGTTAATGTAGTTTATGTAACTTATGTATGTAACTTTCAAATATCAAACGTTTGAGGCAGGGCCGGATCTACCTAAGGGCTATTTGGGCTGCAGCCCAGGGACCCGAGGTTACAAGGGGCCCCCAGACCCCTCTAAAAACAATAGGCGATAATTTGAATTTAAAAAAAAATCTAAATTAAAAAAAACTACCATAATTTTTAATTACTGCACTCATTACAAAGTATTCACATATTCAAATGGAACGATTATCTCGTTCACTGTTTATTTATCAGAAAACTATCAAGTTCATTGTTTCTTTTCAGAAAAAAATCAAAGTCTTAATTTACAATAATGTCTGGTTGAAAGTATAAAAGTGGAGCTGAGAAACGCAAATTACAGCTAGATTGAGAAAAAGAAAGAAAAAAATGTGCAAAAATTGGGACTTTTTTCAAACCAAAACATAAAAACAAGGACGAACTCGCTGAAAATTCATCAACAAGCGCCAAGGAAGGGATCTTATCTGAAGAGAATCTATTTGAAGGGAGTAGCAAATCGCAACACCAAGAAAAAAAGACAAATGATGAAAATGTGCAAAGTTTTGACTACCAGCAACCATCTGATCAAACGGAAAACGATATTGGTGTTCAGCGACAGGATGGTAACACAAACACGGAGACAGAGACACGGATTTAGAGAATACCTATTAATTTTGAGTTTGAGAAATATGTTGACGTGGGCTTGTGGCCAGAATTGCTAAATAATGATTTAATGACATCCTCTCACATAAAATGACTGACTTTCAAAATAAAAATCCAAAAAATATATATGCAGCTTCTATAAAGAAATACAAGGAACAAAACAGAGCATTTTCAAATAGCCATTTCACTAAAAAATTAAAAATGGTCAATCACTGGAAAGATCTTGGCTAACATAACATAAACCAGTGTTTGTGCTGTTTTTTGTTTGCCTTGCAAACTTTTTTTTTAAACCTCTTCTCAATACACGACTGGAGTTTCTGATTGGAAACACATAGGAACTTGTTTAGAAACCCACGAAAATTCTAATGAACATAAGAAATCAATGTTAGTGTGGTTGAAAAGAAAATAAATCTGTTTTAGGCAAGCAGCTTCAGGAGTAATTAAGAAAAGAAATATATTATTATCAGAATGTCCAAAATCGGGTAATTGTAGTGGTAAAATTTTTGAGTATAAGAGGCTTAGCATTTAGAGGTTCCGAGGAAGTATTTGGTTCTCCACATAATGATAGTTTTATGAGGAGTCTGGAGCTATTGGCAGAGTTCGATCCATTCATTCGTGAACACATTGAATATCGGGAGCTGCCACCAAAACCGATAATATCGTACTTATTAAAAACACACAAAGACACAAAATATTATTCAACTGTGATGGATTCTACACCAGATCTGTCTCACAATGATCTGTCTCACAACTTGCTATTGTATTACGATACTGTTTTCGGGGAAAAGTATATGAAAGATGTGTAGCCTTCATTAAAATTAGTAGTCATACTGCCTTACATTTATTTAATATTCTACAAGACTTTATAGAAACAAATGGATTACTACTGAGGGGGAAATTTTATGACAATGCTGCCAATATGGCGGGTCACTACAATGTTTTTTGACATGGCTATAATTGAGTAATTAGGTAGGCCCCTAAGGAGTTTCAGCCCAGGGCCCCACAAATTCACGATCCGCCTCTGGTTTGAGGTGAGGTTTTAATAAGAAGCTTTAAAAACACATAATGTATTTAAGAAAACAGAAGAAATATGACTTTAAATATAATATTTACATCATGTTATCTCTATTACACCTCATACAAATGAAAATTATTCATAATATCAATACATAGTTTATTAACGTAGTTTTCATGTAGTTAATGAACGGGAAAAGACGTAGTTTTTGAAGAGAAACTACACGTAGTTAATCAGGTAAATTACGTCTTAATTAACTACTTCCGAACCCTGCCTGCCATATACAATAACAGAGCGCCGGTTCTGCAATAGTGTATCGTCTTTCATTTAAATGCATATGTTGTCGGGCGACAATAAAAACGGATGCATTGAAACGGCAAAAAACCCACAGCGTGTGCCCAGCCTAACAAAGCCAATTACTTATGCAAATAAATAAACTTAACGGTAGCCTTTCACTTTTTAATTATCATACGAGACGCAGAAATTAAATGAACTGGGACTTTTAACGGCTGGGCTGGGCGGGCGCCTTGCATAAGATTATATTCGATATACGGGGTAAGCAAATAATATTGTTATAATAATATGTTTACTTTTTTATTATTATTTATGTATATTTTTTGGTGGAATTGGTTAGGCTGCATTGCGCAGGCCCATTGTTTAGACTTCTTTGGCACAGGCCCCCCCCCAAAAAATACTCTGGGGCAAAAAAAAACAAAAATATTAAAAAAATAGAAAAAATATAAATTTGGCAACACTGGCCAAACCAAACCAAACCAATCCGAATCTGGATAGGTCAGGAAATGGCCACCATCTTTAACATCTTGGATATGGCCGCCATCTTTAACATCTTTTTGAAGCCATAAGGTGTCATAGCAGCACCATTGTATTACTACTCCAAAAAATTACCCCAGAGACTAACTAACGCTAAACAAATGTAAATTATTAAAAAACAAACCAACCCCACCAAATAGCTAATATGTCTGATGAGTTTGATAACCCAAAAACCATGTTCCACTATTTTAAACTAAATAACTATTTATTGCCACTGATTATACACTAAAGATTAAAGATACAGACAGAATATTATTTATAAGCCTTTAATAGGTAAAGGCATAGAGAAAGTTATAGAGAGTGGTAAATCGCGTAGTAAAATGTTCGGAGATTGCGCTTTTGGCGACCTCTAGTTGGCTACAGGAACGAACTATGAAAGAGCGGGAGATTTAAATTATTATTATACTTATTAATTTTAAGACAATTAAAACTAAGGGTGCCCTTAACCAAAAATAGTGAAATAAATGGATAGTCAAATTTTATATTATCATGATATTAAAGGATATAAATACAGTATTTATAATTCTTTTACACCTTTTTATACAACTTTTACACGCTAATATAAAATTTGACTATCTCCATTAGTAGTCATTCCGACACTTGAGCCAGACAGCCACTTCCGTTCCAGACACTGAATTCCAAGAATTCTGGCGCCAGACGTATGACGTCATCACCTGTGAATAAGTTACTTTAACCAGACGTATGACGTCATCACCGTAACGCCTGACGTATGACGTATGATTTCAACCTGTAAAATTTAATAAAAAAAGTTCCCTATAGGATTTGAACCATGGTCCTCTCGATCGCCAAGCTAACACCTTAATCAACAGGACCACAAGAGCTTTTAAAATTATTTATATTACATGTCTATATATGAGGGCCCCAATTTAAAGTTGTCTCAAAGGTATAGATCAGGTAGTGAGTGATGATCTCATAGAAGTCAAATATCAAATAAAACCACCAATCACCAAAAATGTCTCATACCTCAGGCGGGGGGCGTTGTGGTTATGGCGCCAAACACCTAGAGGGGGCCTAAGCTGTCTCAAAGGTATAGATCATCCAATGAACGACGTTCGTATACAAATCAAATACCATATAAAAAACACCAATCACCATATGTCATATACCTAACTCCAAGTCCCGCGCCCTCGGTGTCCCCTGTACAGGTATTTGTTAAGTTTAAATTAATTAAATTGATTTAATAATGTAAAAATTATGGAACGCCATTGATTTAATGATTTATCAAAATAAAAAATTTATTAGCACATTCACCATTGATTTATCCTTATCAAAATAAAAAGCATTTATTAACGTAGAATATTTACTTACCATAATAGCTATCTTCATCCAAGGGCATGTGGGGTCATGTGATCTTACCCTCCCTATTTACCAAGTTTGTGGTACGTCTAGAGACAGATTTTAGGTATGATCTGTGGTTAGGATTAACTAGGGTTTTGTTTAAGTTAGAGAGATGACTTTTGATTTCCTCCAATGCTCCATGTCGCTTGGCGATCTCTCGTTGTTTATTGCTCGATGTATAATAACTGAAGTCAAAATAAAGTTGTTATTAAATTAAGAAGTGTTTAGTTGGAAGTGTTGAACAACCCCAGCATCAAACACCCATAATTATTGACCCCGTACCCATAATTGGTGACCCCGAACGAAGAAAGAAGTGTTGTGCTTGCCGGTTTCCATATAGCTGGTAACCATTTTGGCATTTCCCGGCTATTGGAGGTCAATATTTGGATTCAAGGCTGTAAGTACAGTGATTTTCGCCAAATTTGGACCCCTTGGGAGCATCGACAACACGTGGGAGGCCTAGTGGAGCACCGAAGTCTCCAAACCTTAACCCCAAATTTTGGATGGACATTTGGCGGTTTTTCTGCTGTGTCTTCACACCCTGCCGCAATCATCAACGCCGATTGACAGCGATAAATGGTAGGAATCTTTTGTGCTGGTGAGTGAAGGTGTGATTGACAGCGTACAGTTTTCTGTAATTTGTTGTCGGTAAAATTTTTTACAGTTTTCTGTAACTAAATGTTAAAGTTTTTACAGTTTTCTGTAATTCAACGTCTTTAAATTTTACAGTTTCCTGTAATTCAATGTCGGTAAAAATTTACAGTTTCCTGTATTTTGGGTTAATTTAAATTTTGCAGATTTCTTTATTTTGTCAAACCGACGCTAGTGCCATCTGTTAGCAGGCACGTGCAGTGTCAATTTTGCATTTTTACACAAAATTTCGAACTTTGAACAGTTTTTTTACATTTTTTTGGCATTTAAGCTAATTACTAGTACATTAAGCGTTCCTAAATCGTATATTATTGCAAATATTAGGATATTTTGCTGTATTTTGTAAATTATTGTACATTTTTAATAAGTTTTACTTGTGACTTTGATTAATTTAATTTAATTTAAATTTATAAATATGTCATTTACAGACGAAGAAATTAGAGCAATCATCGATGAGTCAAAAACAGCTCAGGGACGCGTTCAGCAACTTGAACAAATGCTGACAGATAATTTAGCGGGTTCTCGTGTAGACAGCTATCGTACACCTAAAATTCCAACGTTCCTTAGGGCTGATCCGGCATTATAGTTTATGCAGGTTGAAATTTCACTTCGAAATGCCAGAATCACTTGAGAATCAACAAAGGCTGACATTATGCTGGCTGCACTTGATGTGGAGGTACTGGGCAGCGTCAAAGATATTATCGCAGCGTCACCGCAACCTCCGGATATATTTACCAAGCTCAAAGAGCGTATAATTAAAACTTTTGCTGTGTCTAACGAGGCAAAGTTAAGACAGCTCTTAAAAAGTCAAGTGCTGATCGACGGTAAACCCTCGCTAATTTTAAGCCGGTTAAGAAACCTTAATGTAAATAATGCTGTCGATGATTCCATTTTAAAATCGCTTTTTCTAGAACAATTACCCGAACAAGATCGTGGCATTGTTATGTCCAACTCAAATACGCTCGACGCCATGGCCGAATTAGCCGACCAATTGGCAGACCTTTCTGGCGCATCTTTTTCGCCGCGAGTAAATGTGGTCAGCGCGGAATCATCTGCTTCACAAGCAGACATTCAGTCGTTGATTAGAAGCGTTCAGGATCTTACAGTTAAAGTCGATGCTTTGGAAAAAAAATCGCGTTCACGCAGTACTTCTCGCGCGCGTAAGAAATCCAATTCCAGGGAAAAACCGAGTTTGTGCTATGCACACCAAAAATTTCCAGACAACCCGACATCCTGTCGAAGTTGGTGTAAAGAATACTCAAATTTTAAAAAAAAACTAGTACCACCTCCGCGTATTGAGACAGCGACGGAGGTTGCCAGTGCGTCTTGTCGTCTCCACTTGCGAGATAGAAAGACTGGGCAACATTTTCTTGTAGATTCGGGAGCCGAAGTTTCTGTAGTTCCCGCAAATCCAAAATTTAAGCTCGCGCCTACCAAGAATAACCTTTTTGCAGCTAACGTGCAATAACGTGCGCCCATAGATACCTATAGCGAATCCCGTCGCGAACTGGATCTCGGTTTGCGTCGTCCAATTAAATGGAATTTTTATATTGCTGCTGTTGATTCTCGTTATGGTATAAACGGTGCGGATCTTTTAAAACATTATGGCTTACTTACTAGTCGATTTAAAAAAGCGTCGTATTATCGATGAAGCGACTGGAAGTGTTTCACTTGGAAATTTCACTGTAGCAGAAATACATTCTATGCATTGTTTTAATCCCAACCTTCCCGTCTCTGATTTATTACATAAATTTCCTGAGATTACCGGGGCAGATAAATTATTACCCCCTAAAATTCGAAATGTTTTGCACCATATTTTGACCACAGGACCACCAATCGCCGAACGTGCTCGTAGGCTTACGCAGATAAACTGAAGCACGCTAAAGCGGAGATTAATGCTCTGGTGGAAGCAGGCATTTGTCGCCCGTCCAGTAGTCCGTGGGCAAGTCCTGCGCAAATGGTTCTTAAAAAGGATGGTACCTGGCGTATATGTGGGGATTATCGCCGAAACGCCATCACAATACCTGATAGATACCCTACTCCTCATTTACAAGACTGTTCACTTAGTCTAAGTGGTAAATCCATTTTTTCTTCCTTGGTTTTGAAAAAAGCCTATCATCAGATCCCAATGGCCCCCGAGGATGTAGAAAAAACTGCGATAATCACACCATTCGGACTGTTTGAGTATCTCTTCATGACATTCGGACTGCGTAATGCTAGCCAGTCATTTCAAAGATACATAAACCGTGCTCTGGGAGATCTTGACTTTGTATTCATCTATATTGATGATATTTTGGTTGCGTCATCATCACCTGAGGAACATTCATGTCACCTAGAAATGGTATTTGCAGGACTTAAGGAATTTCATCTTCGCCTTAATGTCGCTAAATGTGTTTTTGCCGCTAATGAGCTTACTTATTTGGGCTATACCATTAATTCAAAGGGAATTCGTCCCACATCTGAGAGGGTTGAGGCAGTTTTATGAAAAACCTAAAACAGTCGCTTCCCTACGCCGATTTTTAGGCATGTTGCATTTTTACCGTCGTAATCTGAGCAATGCTGCATCAACCTCTAAATTCATATTTGAAAGGTGCTGTCAAAAATGACAAAAGGGAGATACAGTGGACTTCAGAAGCCGAGCAAGCGTTTGAGAAAGCCAAGTTAGACTTGTCAAACGCGACGCTACTAGTTCATCCTCGCATCGATGCTGATATAAGGTTACTAACTGACGCATCGGACCTTTTTATGGGTGCTGTTCTTGAACAATCCACTGGCGATGTATGGGAACCTCTGGCTTTCTTCTCGCAAAAATTTTCTCCTGCGCAAACAAAGTACAGCGCTTATGATCGCGCACTTACCGCGATATATAATACAATTAAGCATTTCCTGGAGGGTCGAGCATTTAAGGTCTATACTGACCATAAGCCGCTAATTTATGCTTTCAAGCAGCGCAGCGACAAGGCTTCTCCACGTCAACTTCGACAGCTTTCATTCATTGCCGAATTCACGACGGAATTCATACATTTGTCTGGATCTGAAAACTTGGTGGCAGATTCTCTTTCAAGAATCGATACTCTGCGTAAACCACTTGAATTCGACCTCAACGAGCTAGCTCAACAGCAAGCCGTCGACACGACACGAACAATTGGTGGAAATTAAAAATTCTGCAGATCACCCATTAAAATTAAAAAGCATTCAATGGGGCCAATGAGAATGTGCAAATTGAATGCGAATTATCTGCAGAGGCTATTCGGCCATATGTCCCCAAATCTCTCCGTCAGAGAGTATTTCATATGATTCACAACTCTGCTCATCCTATTAAAATTAAAAAGCATTCAATGGGGCCAATGAGAATGTGCAAATTGAATGCGAATTATCTGCAGAGGCTATTCGGCCATATGTCCCCAAATCTCTCCGTCAGAGAGTATTTCATATGATTCACAACTCTGCTCATCCTAGTGCTAGAGTCACGGACCGATTGATAAGACAGCGCTATGTCTGGCCAAATATGCATAAAAATGCCAGGTCTTGGTGTAAGACATGTATAGATTGTCAAGCCTCGAAAGTCACAAGACACGTCAGATCTTTTCCAGACCATTTTGTTGCACCAGACGGCCGTTTTGATCAAGTACATATTGACATTTTCGGTCCATTGCCCCAATACGAGGGATATATGTACTGTCTAACTATGATAGATAGATTTTCGAGATGGGTGGAAGCCACACCCATAAAAGATATATCGGGTCAAACTATCGCACGAACCTTTTTCGATACATGGATTGTCAGATATGGATCACCAAAGTACATTACGACCGATCATGGCACTCAATTCGAGTCTCGAATGTTCCAAGCGTTACTAAGCTTAATCGGTAACGCAGCGTATTAGGACGACTCCGTATCATCCTCAGTCCAATGGAATAATAGAGCGATGGCATCGTGTGTTTAAAGCCGCGTTGATGTGCCATGTGGAAGGTAATTGGGTACGCAAACTTTCCACTGTCATGCTTAGACTGCGTGCACACACTCGAACCGATATCGGTGCTTCTCCCGCTGAATTTTTATTCGAAACCACCTTAAGATTACCGGGTGAATTTTTCCTTCCAGAAGACATAACACCGGATCCGAATTTCTTTATCGAAAAATTCCGGGATACATGCGAGAAATTCGTCCAGTTCCGACCGCATATAAAAATAAAAATAAAATATTCTATTTTAAAGAACTACATCAGTGCACGCACGTGTTTTTACGTAATATGGCCAAAAAGGCATTAGAACGGCCTTATTCTGGACCACACAAAGTTTTACGTCATGTTACAGATCGGGTCTCTGAAATCGAGGTACAGGGAAAGAGCAAAACCGTCTCTATCGAGTTATTAAAACCCGCGTTTTTGGTTGCTGACGAGATCGCTACAGCGCTAGTGCTTCTGCATCGGACAGCCAGCCAGTGTACAGTCTCAGCCCTTAAGAACGTATTCTCGAAAAGACAAGAAGGTAACTTTTGCGCCTTCAACGAAGAAATATTTTTTTTACTTTCGGTTTATAATCGCTAATGATTGCTCTTCTTTTGCCATTTCATTGCTGTAACAAATGTATTTTTTTACCATATTTTAGTTTGTATACATAAATCATTTAGTTTATATTTCACTGTCGTTAACACTAGGGGGGGGGGAGTGTGTGGGGTCATGTGATCTTACCCTCCCTATTTACCAAGTCTGTGGTACGTCTAGAGACAGATTTTAGGTATGATCTGTGGTTAGGATTAACTAGAGTTTTGTTTAAGTTAGAGAGAGAGAGAGAGAGACTTTTGATTTCTTCCAATGCTCCATGTCGCTTGGCGATTCGTTGTTTATTGCTCGATGTATAATAACTGAAGTCAAAATAAAGTTGTTATTAAATTAAGAAGTGTTTAGTTGGAAGTGTTGAACAACCCCAACATCAAACACCCATAATTGGTGACCCCGTACCCATAGGCACAGCAGCAGCAGCAGCATTAAGTAAGTACCTATATATTAACAATTTATTATTAACTAATAAGTACTAAGCTATTTAAAGCCTCAAGCGGGGGACCTGTTGTCACAACGACTGTCACTTAAAGACTGATACAAAAATAAATGTAATCCCTTATTTAAAAGTTTTTTATAACACCATGTGTATGTTGAAGGCTGAACCCCATCGGCAAACATCGCCAAAATTAAGCGTCTAAATGAGGCTTTATTTCTAAGTAAACAGAAAAATTTTAAAAATATTTACACGTATCAGAGGGTCTTTGTAATGTAAAAACGTTAATATTAGCACACACCATTTATTTAATAATTTATCAAAATTAACTAATAAGTACTGTTAAAAAGTTATCGAAGGTTGAACCATCGCCAAAGGCAAACGTCAAAATCAGCGGAGTACTTATGCACAAGCTCAACAGAAAATTTTTAAAATATGTACATAATGCAAAACATAACGTACACCAAGCCTTTTGTTAACGCTATAAGTATTTATTAAGCAAAGTTTAGAGATGACTAAAAAAGCAATCGAAGAAATGTGTGCACAGAAATATTTAAATTTCTCATATTTTTAAGGTTTTCTAGCACATATTTTGTTAGGTATTCAATAAGCAATGATGTTATTGCTATTTTCTGTTACTTTTTTAACCAATTCTATGCATAATAGAGGAAAATTTGCTAACACAAATTTGTAAACAACCTGAAAATGTTGGGTTATGTCTCTGGTATATACGTATTATTTACAAATATACTCAGCCTAATCTCCAAAAAGTGAAGCCCAAACAGTGAAAGAACAATATGGAATTCTGCATAAGTCTATTTTACCCGGATATTCAATTAACAGCGCATGCCTCACAAGAAGAAGTTTTTATTGGTCGATGTTTTTAAAGGGAAGTGGTTGACTGACATTTCACCTAACCTTCAATTTTATTTATATTTTTATTATTTATAACACATTATCATGGAGTTGGAAAAATATCAAAAAATAGTTGGAAACAATAAAATAAACAAAATCACTCTTTTACGTGCACAAATAAAAAGTAATCCAGGTAATGGTGTGGATCGGGTGGCTGACCTTGGAACGAGTTTTTGCTGCATATAGTCACAGACACTACGCATGCGCACATCTTCGATGTTGCCAGATTGCAAGTTATTTTGGAATTATTTTCAGTAGAAAACAAATATGTGCTTTTCAATGTTTTTTTGTCAATATATACCGTATGATCGAAAAAACGGCGTCCAGTTGGCTGGGAAATGACGATTGAGGACATTTCCCATATAAAATGACAGCGATCTTCATTTCATAGTCATCGCTGTCGCTATTTTTTTTCAATCGTAGTACGCGGTATTATTTATATTATTATTTTAATATTTCGCACAACACGTGAACGCTTATTATGTATTTTCATAGTCAATAAAATTAAATAGAAATAAAACTCTAGATTCCTATAAATAATCTGTTGGGATTATTT